AAAAAAATTCATCACGCAACAGCACAACCTCCAATCACGACAGCCTCGCCATAACAATTAAATCACGATAACATCGTCTAGAAGGGCAAAAACAAACGACATTGGCCTGATTCGAACAGACGCTCCCGAAGGAACAAGATCGCAGAAGATCAGTAAAGTACTGGATTCATTCTAGTCTTGCGCATTAGACCACTCTGCCACAATGCCTTATTTGTTGTTGAAGATTTGGGCAATTATCAGTGTCCTTGACGACAGAAACCATGGTCGGCGACTATGTCTAGCAGGTTGTCCAAGTGGACTGACTCGTTGTGGATAGTGTCCACTGTCGAGATGTAGCAAACACTCAATGAGATATGAAGAAAGTAAAAAGGACGATGTCTCGTGATTGTGATCATAAAAAGTAAAGATAGTTGAGTAGAGAGAGCCCCTTCTCTTCACCTGATAATGTGCAAAGGCAGGTAGGCATGCGTTCTTCAAATCGGACCAAGCTCCGTATATGACAGCAAACCTAGGTGTGGAGATGATAGGCTCGACAGCAATGCTAATGATCATGCGGATATCTGATCGCGAGGGTGTCAATTGTGACGAGGTCGACTTTGTAGAGTTCAACAGATATAATTCGGTTTATGGACCGGCTGCTAGCCGACCGCCGACGCATTCATTGACGATATCCAAAATTCCAGCCATACGCCCAAAGAACGTTTGGCTCATGTCCGAAACGTATCCCAGGAGTTCCAAAAGGCTGAAGTATCCTCGTCACCCGACAAAGGCATGGCTGTTCTATAACTCGACCAAGGTGCTCGGACTTTTCGTTGATGGGTACGGAGTCGCCACGACTGAGGAAAGAGTAAAAGCCATCAGGAAGAGACTATACCTCACCAGCTCCGTGTTCCAATGTCTTTTTTCGCTCTTACATAACCGGAAGACCTCTACGAACAGCTGGCACATTGTCTGGATAATACAAAGGCGAGGATCGTACACCAACAGCTCGAAGCCTTACACGCAGCTATTCATTTCTCCAACGAGAGAGCGACGATTAATGTTTGGCGTTCGCTGGACAAGCATCTCCAGAATTTCATGATTTGGCTTGAAAAGCGTATGATTGTCGACGAGTAAAGGGGGTTGGGTAATGCCCTGTATACCTAGGTAGCTAGTCGGGGTAATTCTATATTAAGATATTATATATAATTCGTTTTTATATAAATATAATAATATTATTTCTAAGAGAAATAATAAATAACAAAAAAAAAAAAAAAAAAGCGGAAAAGGTGTAAAAATAAAAAAAAATTTAATATATTTTAATTAGGTATATTAACTTACTAAAACGAGGAGCCAAGGGCAGTAGTGATCGAAGATTGGTAGGCATCTACCAGTCGCATTGATCTGCAGTATCTCGAATGCAATTTCCAGTGCTATCTGGGAGTCTTTGTTGCGAGGGTGGTTTATATAGGCGTAGAAGATTTTAGTTATGCCAGAACCAAGCTGGTACCGTAAAGCGAGACGATTCAACTCGCCGTCACTGCCACAGAAAGCAAGGCCAAGACCTCGACGAATGGTGAGTAATAGCCTCAATTTAAGTAATCCTCCAGCCACTTAGGCTGGAAGATCTCGGAGATCCTTCCATCTTTGATATCAAGTGCTTCTGCTAGGTGGCCAAGTACTGGGACTGGCAGCCTGGTCAGAAGGTATTCGTCCTCGTTCTTGCCAAAGAGCAACCACAGCTTGGACGGGAATGAGTCGACCAACATGAATGTTCTCTCATGCTCCATTCCAGTATGACCAGCCCCCGCTCAGAATTGCAAGAGCATCCCATCAACTGCCTTTCAATAAGCATTGTCACAAAGCAGTCAAATCTAGACTCAAAAATCAAATCAGCTGCGAGAAACAATGCCATTGACTATGTACAATTTGACCCATACCGGAACTAGAAAGAAAACCCAAGAAATGCCCTAAACCGTGATATTAAAACATGCAATTCCCAAACTCGTGGATAGCCTCCAGTGAAAGCACATATGGCTTTCGTGTGAGGCCGCCCGACTGTCCGCCAACAGCTCAAGGCCAGAGAAACCAAGTGATTCCTCGTGAACCTTCTCTTGCTTAGAAGATGCTGTTGACAAGGTTTCCACCCAACGTGGCACCAGCACCGAAAATGGCAGCGTTTCCGAGCTTCTTTCCAAACTTCTTGCCCATTTCGCTGCCCTTTCCGCCCTGGGATTGCTCGCCGCTGCCCTCGGCGACGGCCATGGGTGGCACGTTGGAGTTGTAGGGGTTCTGGCCCTGCGGCGGCGGCGGGTATCCGCCAGCCTGCTGCTGAGGAGCGTAGACGGGCTGGGCGGGGGCGTAGAAGCCGGCCTTTTCGGCGGCCTGGTCAATCTCGACGTAGTTCTTGGGGAAGATGCCCTCGGCGCCGGTGCGCTGGTTCTTGCCCATCCACCAGTCGTCGTTCATATACTCGAACACGGCAATCTTGTCGTCGCGGTCAAAGCTCAGGTCGCGGTCGTCGGCGGCCGTGTACTTGTACAGGGCCTTGGCGTGCGCGATGACGGGCTTGGTGGGCGGCGGCGGCGGGGGTCCGTTCCGGGATGGGAGCGAGGGCGGGCCGGTGGTGTGGTAGGCCGGGGGCGCGGGCGAGGGGGCCGGGTTCGAGCCGATGGCCAGATTGGCCATGGAGTTTACTGGCGGCGAGATGGGATTGTGGCTCGGGGCTGGGCTGGCCACCGAGGTCTGGCGGGTTGCTGCTGGCGTAGCGGCGCTGGAGAGCGAAGTCTCGCCTGGGAGTGTGCGCATGATGGAGTCAAAGGTTGCGTCGTCCACGACACCCTTTTCCAGCAGGTGTTCGAGTTCCTGAATATCATGTCAGATCACATTATCGTTGGCTTTTTATTTGCGCAAACAGAGGCAAAGCGCACATTCTTGATCAAGCGCAGCGACTTGTTCGTCGCGATGATCTCTTGTCTGTCCATGCCGACCATGGTGATGAATGTGAGGTGGATCGAGTAAAATTGCAACCAGGCAGGTTGTGTCTGGTTTCTGAGAAAGTCTTGAGACTTTGCTGAGATTCGCTCGCTGCTTCCTGCTCGAACGCAACTGGTAAGAATCTTGAAAGCGGTACAATTCTGTTAGGTGTATCGATTGTGAAGAGTACGAGGTTGTAAAAGTTGAAGGCCGTCGGATCCCCCAATTTCAGCTTAGGCAGCGGAACCCGTAACGCTACGCTCGCTGCATGTGCTGCATGTTTGTTTCGTTGGTGGATCGGAACACAGGCACGCTTTAGCCTGGTAGCGCCTGTTTTTAGTGGAGGGCGGAGCCCCCTGAGGTCGCCATCTTCAGTGATGCCAAGCCCATTTAGTCCCCACCCCGCTTCAATCTCGTAACACACATAAGGCGCCGGAGTGCACTGAGGCTTGGGAATGGGCCCCTAACGTTTTCCCATGCCCAGAAGGTTTAGAGGCAAACCCGGCTAGCCGGGCGAGTCCCGCCGAACTGACTTCCGAGTCCGCCGGGTTGCTACATAGTGCCAGGGTGAATGGCTGACGCAGATCTACACTTATTGTACGTTGGCTGTCTAGATACATACCTCAGCTGCAATATTACCCTGTATTCTGATTTACTGTCGTGATCGTCAATGATCCTTCAGCTTCCAACAGGCTATCAACATGCAGAAAATATCATCATACATTGAATTCATCAGGCGGGTTAAGCAAGCGAATAATATCAACGATCCCGGTTGTACTTGTGTCTCTGCCAAATAGGTCACATTGCGGAAATGGTTTCTCTATCTGTAGTGACTACGTGGTATCGCCAAGATCTTCCGGTGGCCAAAGTATTGCCTGAGCTGAGCTGAGCTAATAGATTGGCGATGCTAAGTTTCCTGGGCGTAATAAACAAGCCCACCGTTTCCCACAAGTGGTGTGCAAAGACACGTAAATACCCAAAGAATGGCCCAGCTATCTTGCTGTCGCCGTGAGCCCATTCGCATCACACTGTCCATAGCGCGATTCAAGACACTCAACAGTAACGCCGAAATAATCGTACTCTTTTTCTGCGAGAGGGTGGCCTCCCGGCACCTCAGGCAGATCGGTGCGTACCCTCTCTCCCAAATAGGCGCGGCCATCCATATTGAACCCAGCCAAACAATGCTGCTGTAGAGAAACCAATAACTCAGAGAATGAAGTTGAAACTGAAAAGGGTATCATATTGGTGTAAGCCACCATGTTGTGCTCATCATGCCACTGCTCCTTTGATGCGGGACTGTTGGAACATTGATTTGCAACGATCTAGTCTTCTTCGCTGACATCGCTCTCCGAGTCGGCTCCCGCCAATTCGGCTTCAAGGGCAGCCTCCAAGTCGTCTTCCATGTCGTCGTCATCGTCTTGTTCTTGCTGCTCCTGTACTGGAGCTGGGGCTGGGGCCGGCTCCTCATCCTCTTCTGACGCTGAATCGTCATCAAAGGTGAGTGAAATCGTGTTGTTGGGGACAGTCTCAACTTCCGGCACAGAAGATTGGTGCACAATCGGCGATGGAAGCGGAAAGTGTTCCTGTTCGCTCATTTCCTCGTCCTCATCTTCCCCGTCGGCATCATCTTCCTCCTCCTCATTTTGCGCGGCAAATTCGCTAAATCTCCGAGGCGGGAAGGCGGGAGAGAAGTCACGATTAGGAGCTGCGGTGTCGCCGAAATCAATTTCTAGCACATCGCCGTCGTCGCTGTCCTCCTCGTCATCCGAGCCATTCTTGCGCTTCTCTGGTGCGGCCGGTTTAGATGGCTTTGGAGGTGCCGCCTTTTGAGCCTTTGTTCCCTTGGCGCCGCCACCAGCCTTGGCCTTGGTCTTGGTGGTTGAGCTCTCAGCAGTGCTGTTCGGTAGATGGGGATATTGCTTCTTCAGATTGTCTGCGTTCTTGTTGTCTGGTGTCTGGATGAGGTTCATGTTGAATGTCGAGTCCACCTTGTGCAGCACAAAGACCTCTCTGTTGGGGTCAAAGATCAAAACATATTGATTTTCATTGCTGGTACGGTTGCCCCGGTATTTGTGAATATTGCCCTTGTCTCCGTATAACATATCGAAGTTGCCCTTGAAGGTGACATTTTGTCGCAGTTTCGCGGAATCCGGTGCCGGATCTGGTCTGTGATTATCTATGGCAGGCTAGGTTAGCAGCCGGTTACATGGCGCATTGATTGAGTTGCCACTGGGCAAGACGTTGAATATCAC